CTGTAATCTCTGCCTCCTAGGTTCAAGCAATTCTCCTGCCCCAGCCTTCAGAGTAGCTGGGACTATAATTGCATGCCACCACACCCAGCTAATTTTTTCTATGTTTAGTAGAGACGGGGTTTCACCATGTTTGCCAGGATGGTCTCGATCTGACCTCATGATCCACCTGCCTTGGTTTCTCAAAGCGTTGGGATTATAGCATGAGCCACCATGCCGTGCCTCTTCCCTCTTACTAGGAGTATGAGTTGCCTCTGAGGCTAAGCACGGAGCTGTGGGATCATGGGAAGGTGAGATTGGCCTGAAGTCCTCATGGGTGCGATTTATAAAGGCATCCAGGGCTTGCCACAGACTCCTATTGAAGCTGGGAACAGCCAGCTACAACCTGGGTCCCAGAAGAAATCACAAGAAAATTAAAAAATGTTCAGGCCAATTAAATGACAGCAAACACACTACATCAAAATTTGTGGGTGCAGCTAATGCAGTATTTAGAGGAAATGTTATAGTTTTAAATATTTATAATTTGAAAAAAAGAAAAGTTTCAAATCAATGACCTAACATCTCACTCTATGACGCCTGGAAAAAAAGAGCAAAGTAAACTAAAAATAAATAGAGGTGGTAGGTGTCCATGAGCATGGCCTCCCTGGCTCCCCTTCTTTCACTCCTTGGTGCCCCTCAGTATCCCTAGTGTCAAAGTGCAGTCTCTGGCACATCCTTTCTTGAGGGAGGAGGCAGCATAGTGCAGGGAGCCTCTTGCTGTGGTTGGGCATTGGGGGACTGGGAGGGAACATGACTGTATGTGCTGGGATAACAGTTCTTTTAAAGCCCAAACTCCACTACAGTTCTTTTAAAGCCCAAACTCCACAAGTTGATGGCTTTTACCGTTAGGAATCTTTTCAACCTGGACCACTTTCTTTTTGAGAAAAGGAGTAAGATTGAGGAAACACCAAAATACTCCTTAAAACCCCCCTAGCCTTGCCCTGCTTCATTATTATTATTATTATTATTATTTAGTGCTCAGTAGGAGAATGCTGAAGGGGAAGTTAGCAGGGCATGCACCCCGGGTTCAGACAGAACTGAAAAAAAAGAAAAAAAAAAAAGGATTTTAGTATTCCAAAACTCCAGAAAATGAAGAAAACAAAGTATATTTCAAGAATCAAAGAGGAATACAGTATATTAATCTCTCTTCTGATAGTGACGATGTTGTTTACCCAGATTGCTCCAATACAGCTCAAGAGAAAAATTCAACAAAAACACAATGATTATTGTCTGTGAACCATCTGAAGATGGAGTCCCAAAACCTTCCTACCATAGCAAGTATTAGAAGATGTTAAAGATGCCATACTTCCAGACTTGAAGAAATTTTTTCCAAGAAGTGACAATAGTTTTATTAAGGTTATACCCTTTTATGGTAATTGGTTGTTGTAGCTGTAATGATTAAAATATCTCCTATATCCAGTGCTATTGTTGGATAGCAGTTTTTCTAGAAATATCTGATATTTAAAGATAAGTACTGAATATTACTTTATGTAATTAAATAAATGTAAATACTAGAGATTAAATGAAGGATATATTAATGTTGAGAGCAGACATAAATTAAATGGAAGACAGATAAATAGGAGATAAAATGAACAAAGCCAAAAGTTTATTTTTTTAAATATCAACAAAATTGATAAACCCCTAGTTAGGCTGATCACACAAAAAACATAGAGGTCACAAATTACCAATATCAGAAAGTAGCTATTCTTACAGATATTTGAAGGATAATAAGAGAATATTATATCAACTGTATGTAAACAAATTTAATTTCTTGGATTAAATGGGAAAATTCCTTTAAAATACAACTTTAAAAATCTCTCAGTGTATTAAACAAAATCTAAATAGCCTTATGTTTATTAAGTAATCTGAATTTGCTACAAAAACCCACCCCACAAAGAAAACTCTACTGATAAATTCTATCAAACACTCAAGGAAAAGATTATGCCAGTCTTACACAAACTATTTCTGACAATAAAGGAATAGTTCTCAATTCATTTTATGAGGCCAGGATAACTCTAATAATAAAACTTGAAATAGTGTTGCAAACAAAATTTAAAGATCAATGTGCTTCAGGAAGATATATGCAAAAATTCTTAATGTAATGTCAAGTCAAATCCAACAGCATGTTAAAGGATAATGCATTATGACCAAGTGTGGGGCTTTAGCCAGGAATACAGGTTGTTTTAACATTTGAAAATCAGTGTAATTCACCATATTGAAATAATAAATGTGAGCTCTCTAGATTCCACCTCTCTGGGCAGGGTATCCATGAAGGAAAGGCAGCAGCCTCAGTCGGAGGCTTACAGATAAAACTCCCATCTCCTTGGGACAGAGCACCTGGGGGAAGGGGTGGCTGTGGGCACAGCTTCAGCAGATTTAAAAGTCCCTGCCTACTGGCTCTGAAGAGAGCAGCGGATCTCCCAGCACAGTGCTTGAGCTTTGCTAAGGGACAGACTGCCTCCTCAGGCAGGCCCCTGACTCCAGTGCCTCCTTCAGGAGAGACACCTCCCAGAAGAGGTTGACAGACACCTCATACAGGAGAGCTCCAGCTGGTATCTGGTGGGTGCCTCTTTGGGACAAAGCTTCCAGAAGAAGGGGCAGGCAGCAACCTTTGCTGTTCTGCAGCCTCTGCTGATGATACCCAGGTGAACAGGGTCTGGAGTGGACCTCCAGCAAACTCCGACAGAGCCCCTCTGGAGAAGAGGGGCCTGACTGTTGGAAGAAAAACTAACAAACAGAAAGCAATAGCACCAACATCAACAAAAAAGGATGACCACGCAAAAACCCCTTGTGAAGGTCACCAATATCGGAGACCAAACGTAGATAAATCCATGAAGATGAGGGGAAAAAACAGTGCAAAAGGTTGAGAATTCCAAAAACCAGAATTCCTCTTCTCCTCCAAAGGATCACAACTCCTTGCCAGCAAGGGAGCAAAACTGGATGGAGAAGGAGTTTGACAAGCTGACAGAAGTAGGCTTCAATAGGTAGATAATAACAAACTCCTCTGAGCTAAAGGAACATGTTCTAACCCAATGCAAGGAAGTTAAGAACCTTGATATAAGGTTACAGGAACTGCTAACTAGAATAATCAGTTTAGAGAAGAACACAAATGACCTGATGGAGCTGAAAAACACAGCATGAGAACTTCGTAAAGCATACACAAGTATCAATAGCCAAATTGATCAAGTGGAAGAAAAGATATCAGAGATTGAAGATCAATTTAATGAAATAAAGTGTGAAGACAAGATTAGAGGGGAAAAAAAGAATGCAAAGGAATGAACAAAGCATCCGAGAACTATGGGACTATGTGAAAAGACCAAACCTACATTTGATTGGTGTCCCTGAAAGTGATGGGGAGAATGGAACCAAGCTGAAAATGACACTTCAGGATATTATCCAGGAGAACTACCTCAACCTAGCAAGGCAGGCCAACATGCAAATTCAGGAAATACAGAGAACACCACAAAGATACTCCTTGAGAAGAGCAACCCCAAGACACATAATCGTCAGATTCACCAAGGCTGAAATGAAGGAGAAAATGTTAAGGGCAGCCAGAGAGAAAGGGTGGATTACCCACAAAGAGAAGCCTATCAGACTAACAGGAGATCTCTCTGCAGAAACCCTACAATCCTGAAGAGAGTGGGGGCCAATATTCAACATTCTTAAAGAAGGAATTTCCAACCCAGAATTTCATAGCCCACCAAACTAAGCTTCTTAAGTGAAGGAAAAATAAAATCCTTTACAGACAAGCAAATGCTGAGGGATTTTGTCACAACCAGGCCTGCCTTATTAGGGCTCCTGAAGGAAGCACTAAATATGGAAAGGAAAAACCAGTAACAGCCACTGCAAAAACATAACAAAATGTAAAGACCATCATCACTATGAAGAAACTGCATCAACTAATGGGCAAAATAATCAGCTAGCATCTAATCACAGGATCAGACTCACACATAACATAACAATATTAACCTTAAATGTAAATGAGCTAAATGCCCAATTAAAAGACACAGGCTAGCAAACAGGATAAAGAGTCAAGACCCAATGTGCTGTATTCGGGAGACCCATCTCGCATGCAAAGACACACGGGATCAAAATAAAAGGAAGGAGGATGATTTACCAGGCAAACTGAGAGCAAAAAAAAGCAGGGGTTGCAATCTTAGTCTCTGATAAAACAGAATTTAAAACAACAAATATCAAAAAGGACAAAGAAGGGCAATACAAAAACATAAAGGGATCAATGCAACAAGCAGAGTTAACTATCCTAAATATGTATGTACCCAATACAAGGGCACCCAGATTCATAAAACAAGTTCTTAGAAACCTAGAAAGAGACTTAGACTTATCCTTTACCTCCAAAATTACTTAGGAACTTAAATTTCTAAATCATGTTAGGGTGCTACTTTTAGTTGTTGTTCATATCTATTTTTACAGCATTGTACTGAAAAAAAAAAAATTAGGGAGGGCCTGAATATTTTCCTCTGAGAATTTGTTGCAATTTTCTTTGTAGCCATATATACAGTTCACTAAAAATATTACATAAATCTTAGAAAATAATGCATAGTGTCTTTGTGGGAGAAAACATTTGTCTATGGCTATTAATGAAATCTGTCAGTTTTATTTTCCAGCCCTCTATAAAAGTGTTTCCGGAACACTGAAATATAACATAGGACTTAACTAAACAAAAAAGGGATTGTGTATACAGTGAACAATTTTCATTATCCTACTAAAATTTATGTGTATTTCAAAAGGCTTTTGATTGTAAGCAAACATATATATTTTAATAAATTACCTCTGAAAATAACTTTCTAAATATGTCTTTAAAAAACAAACCTCAGTTTTGAATGAACACTTCCATTATCACTTTTTCTTTCAATAACACCTTTTGTAGATTAAAAGAATAGCCTTTCTTCTCAGTACAAATAGTATAATATTAAGTAAATGAGTGTTTTTCCTGAAGTTATTCCTCACATAACAATCCTAGAGTTTCTTGCATGTATTTGCTTATGTTTATGAACTTAAGCTGAAAGATTTCCCACATTCATTACACTGGTAGAGTTTCGCTCCTGTATTCGTCCTCTGATGTCGAATTAGTGAGGTTCTACAGCAAAACAGTTTCTGACATTTCTTACATAGGGTTTCACACCAGAATGAATCTTTAGATGCTCATTAAGGTGTGTACTTCAACTGAAGGTTTTTCCACATTCTTTACAACCACAAGCCTTCTCTCCGGTATAAGTTCTCTGGTGTTCAGTAAGATGTGCACTCTGATTGAAGGCCTTTCCACATGCATTACACTCATAGGGTTTTTCTCCAGTATGAATTCTTTGATGTTGAATGAAGGCTGGGGTATGGCTTAATGCTTTCCCACATTCATTTCATTGATATGGTTTCTCTCCTGTGTGGGTTCTCTGATGTCGGATTAGTGACATACTGTGACAAAAAACTTTCCGACATTCCTTACACTGGTAGGATTTTTTCCCCAGAATGAATTCCCTGATGTTCAATTAGGTGGGTGCTGTGGCTGAAGGTTTTTCCACATTCAATACATTCATATGGTTTCTTTCCAGTATGAATTCTATGATGTTGAGTAAGGGCAGAGATATGACTGAAGGCCTTCCCACATTCATTACAAGGATAGGGTTTTTCTCCAGTATGGATTCTATCATGATTTCTAAGGGATGACCTATGACTAAAGGCATTTTCACATTCATTACACTCATAAGGTTTCTCCCCAGTATGGGCTCTTTGATGCTGAATAAGTTTAGTGCTCTAAAAGCTTTCCCACATTCATTGCATTCATAAGGGTTCTCTCCAGGATGTATTCTTTGATATTGGATAAGGTTAGTGTTCCAGGTGAAGGATTTACCACGTATTTTACATTCATAAGGTTTCTCTCCAACATGTGTTTTCTGATGCTGGATCAGGGATTCAATACAAGTGTGGCCTTTCCCACATTCAGTACAGAGGTATGGTTTCACTGTCATACAATTTTTCTTAGATTCCATCAGTACTGGACTATGTCTTCACATTTATTTATTTTTAAATTTTTGTGGGTATGTAAAGATGTTGGCTTTACATTTATTTCCAGAATAAGTAAAGTTTGAGATACATTATTTATCTCAATGTTAGCTTTACATTTATTTCCAGAATAAGTAAAGTTTGAGATACTAATGCAATCTTTCTTATATCTGATAAATTATTTTTCAATCATGAGTTGCCTTTTGAAAAAATCAACTACAGCAGAATTATGCTTCAGGTTCCTACCATTGATGTCACAGTTACAGTAGTCCTGCCTTATCCACAGTTCCACTTTCCATGATTTCAGTTATCCATGGGCAATTGTGGTCAAAAATTATTATATGGAAAATTCCAGAAATAAACAATTTATAACTTTTAAATGGTGTGATTTTCTGAGTACTGTGATGAAATCTTGTGTGATCTGCTCTGTCCTGCCTGGGATGTGAATCATCTCTTTGTCCAGTGTATCCACACTATATATACGACTCATCCATTGGTCACAGTAGCTCGTACTAACAACCTGGTTAGGGTTTGGTACATCAGTGATTTCAGATATCTTCTGAGTGGTCTCAGAGTGTACCCCCCATGAATAACTGGAGACTACTGTCTGAGGTCTTTTTCTTATAAAAACTCTCAGTTGTTTAAAAAGCTTTGGTCTTTGATTAAATGTTTCCCTTGTTATATTCATGATCTTCCTTTTGAATTGCTTTTTCTTGTAATCTGGTGATACTGGTGTTTCTGAAACTGGTCTTCAAATTCCAGTTCTTCTAATGTGCAATATTAGGAACCATCATTTGAAAAAAAATTCTAACATCATATGATGGCATTATTTGGTTTTCAGAAATTTTCTGCTTTGGAGTAGATGCTCTGACTTTGGATATAGTATCCAGGATTAAGTAGAAGATATTATCTTTTCCCTCTGAAATACAAAGGCAGAAAACAAGATTCATTCATCAGTTGCAGAAAATAGTAATAAAACAGTACTGTGATAAAATGTAAGATTTTTCAATATAGGTACTGATTAATAGGGAAGTTTAAATGTGAAATGAATCCATACATATGTCTGAAGCACAGAGTTTCTCTACTCACATTTCTGACAAGCTGTATAGCAAGAATAACATTTTTTTTCTTTCTATAACTCATACTTAGAACACTTCTGTGTGCAAATGTGTGGGGTTTTTTTCCTATTCTTACCAATTCTCCAACTCTCTGGACAGCGACTGGATGTCCTACAATTTACTTTAATTCCAACACTACCTAACTGGAATAAGCATTATATCCCTCAAGTTAAAGGGCTTAGTCCCACAAGACTCCCTCCACTTCAGATGATAATCACAAACTGGTCCTCCCATACTTTTGAACGACTGGCTATAAGTTGAGGGTTCTTATAACCCCTGCCTCCTCTAGTTCAATAATTTGCTAGAATGGCTCACAGAACGCAGGAAAACACTTTACTTACATTTCCCAGTTTATTATAAAGGATACAACTCAGGATCAGCCATTCAGAAAGAGATGCACAGGGCAAGGTAAGCAGAAGGGAAAGGAGTATAGAGCAGAGCTTCCATGCCATCTCTGGCCATGCTACCCTTTCAGCACCTTGATGTGTTCACCAACATGGAAGCTCATCAAATATCACTGTTCATGAGTTTTTACAGAGCTTGATCTCCATCCCCACATCTTCCTTCCCAGAGGCTGGTGGGTGGAGTTGAAAGTTCCAACCCTCTAGTTGGTTGGTCTTTTTAGTGATCAGACACATTATTGAGGCTATCTAGGGGCCCTACCCTATTTCACCTCATCAACATAAACTCAGGTATGATTTTTACAAAGGTGAATTATGAACAACAAGTGACATTCCTATCACTCAGGAAATCTGGAGGGCTTTCAAAGCCCTGTGACAAGAATTAAAGACCAGATCTATTTTGTATGATATTGCAATAGGTGTGATAAAAGAAATGGTAGCATTAAGACAAAGTGCATAATAAAATCAAAGGTAAATATTCAGTAAAATAAATGTTGTGACTAAAAGACAATGAAACTAATTCAAATGTATGTATGTTTTTGGAAAGCAGAGGCAAAAAACAAGAAAAGTGAAATGGGATCAGATAATAAAAAATTCTCACATTTAAACAGAGAAATTCAATGTCATCTAGCAGGAGACAGGAAAACTGAAGTTTTCTGTCAGTGCATTAATATGATAAATATGTTTTAGATAAAGAGCTTATTAATTTCATCTAAAATGTGTAAGAGATGGTCAAACTCAGCAAGAAAGCATATTATGAATTATACAAGCCTGGATTGGGATAATACTAGCAAGAACTCAGTATAAGTGTAGATAAGGCATAAAAAAGAAGAAACAAAAAATGCTGAAATAGATTACAGGAAACTTTTGCAAAACAAGATTCATAAAGATACAATGGTTTCTAGCCAAGGAGGCTGTAAGAATAGTGGTACTAATGATAGAAAAAGAAGCAAAGAGAGGCCACTCAGGGTAATTTGGTGATTTTACTTTCACCATATTGAGGTTAAAGTGATTTAAAGTGAAGTATGACATTCTAATGGAGATAGACTCTAAGCAGGGGAATATATGAAGATAGAATGTAAATGAGAGACTTAAGTTGAAAAAAATTATGTAAGAAAGTTAATAACATGGAAGGACTATTTGAAGATGTTAGAATGCACTAATTTTTTGAGATGAAAATAAACAAGTAGAAAATAAACCATAAAGGCACATGCATTTATGTTAGGGAGCAAGTGAAGTTAACAAAAAAGCATTTGGAAAGAGATTAGAATGGAAAATAATCTGGTGACATCACACAAGCTAAAACAAAATATCAAGCATGGTAGAAAGTCTGAACACAGAAAGGACTAAGAATGGGTTGCTATCAAGAAGGAATTCAAGAATCTCTTAAAAATAATTTTATCAGAAGACAAGACTCTAACTCTAAAAGAGAAAAGGAATCAAGGATATTAGCTAACCTCAGTACCTCAATATGTGACCTTATTTGGAAACAGGATCACTGCAGATGTAATTAGTTAAGGTGAGTTCACACTAGAATAGGGTAGGTTCCTAATCCAATGTGGCTGGTGCCCTTTTAAGAACATGGTCATGGGAAGACCCACAGACGTACAGAGAAGAGAAAGCCATGTGATGAAAGGGCAGAGAATGGAGTTATGCAGCTGAAAGCTAAGGGATACCAAAGATTCCCAGTAAACCACCTGAAGCTAGGAAGAGGCAAAGAATGATTTCCCTACAGGTTTCAGAGGCAGGATGCCCTTGCTGACCGCTTGATTTTGTAATTCTAGCCTCAGAACTGTGAGATAATAAATTTATGTTGTTTTAAGTTACCCAATGTGTGGTATGTTGCTAGGGCAGTGATAGACTAATGTATACGCCAACTTAACTGACTAAACATTCACTAACAACTGAATGTTTGTGTTCCCCCAAAATTCATATGTTGAAATTTTAGCCCCTAAGGTGATGGTATTAGGTGAGGCCTCTGGGAGGTAATTAGGTTATGAGGATGGCTGCCTCACCAATGGGATTAGTGCCCTTACAAGAAGACACATGAGAGAAATGATCTTTCTCTCTGCCATGTGAGGAAACAATAAGATGGCCATCTGTAAACCAGGAAGAGGGCCTTCAACAAGATGACCAGGATGGCACTCTGATTTTGGATTTCCAGACTCCAGAACTGTGAGAAAAAAATGTTTGTTGTTTAAGTCACCCAGTCTATAGTATTCTGTTACAGTAGCCCAAACTGACTAAAACACCTATATAAGACATACTTTTCAAAAAGAAAAAAGATGAGGATTGAGGGTGGGGGACTTGCCTATACTAGATATCCAAAGATATTCTATAGCTATATTAATTTTAAAACAGGGTGGTACTGGCACAGGGATAGACTGAAAGAATAAGAAAATGAAACTGAGTCTAGAAATAGGCCCATTATTTTGTAGGGATTTAATATATGATAAAGGTAGCATTTCAAATTATTTGAGGAAGGATAAACATTTAATAAATAATCTTAGGAAAACTGGCTTATCCACTTAGGGAAAAAATAAACTTAAAGCTACTGCCTTATAAAAAATAATTATAAGTGAATTAAAGACTTAAACATAAAACTAGAAATATAAAAGAACCAGGAAAACTATCAGAAGAATATTTTTATAATCTTGCAATGGGGAAATCCTTAATAAAATATAGAATCTGGAGGCTACATAGAAAAAAACTTACAGATTTGACTATACAAACATAGAAGGCAAACAACAAAATTTAAAAAAGACATATTGGGACTAAATATTTGCAACCAATAAAGCATAAAGGACCATTTTCTGTATTATGTAGAGTTTCTACAAATAGGAAAAATGTTTAATGCAATACAAATCTAGGCAAACAATATGAACAGGAAATTCACAAAAGAATACAAATGATCAATATATAAAAAGATTTTCAAGCTCACTTCTAATCACAGAAATACAAATTAAGATATCAATTTTCATTCATCAGATTGGCAAAAATGTTAAAAACAGGCAATATTCAGTACTGTTTAAATACCGGGGAAATGGCTGCTCTCACTCTTAGTGGAAAAAGTTTATTATTTCTATTTATTTATTGGAAAGTCACATTAAAATCACACCAGGTTCATGACAAATTACCTTTGAGTAGAACACATTGTTAATAATGTTATATTACCTGCAAACGTGAACTCACAGCCCCTTGTACTTTTTCTCTCATTACATCATTACATTAATTGTACATCAATGTTCTACTTCCAATGTCTGTCTGCTTTCCTAAACTATAAGCTTCTTGAGAACAGGACAGTCCTCTTCTGTCCTGACAGTTGCTATTCTGTCTTCAGTGCCACACACATAACCTGGCATTCACTATGCATCTAGCAAACATTACTTGAATGAATGTATGAATAGACTTCTCTTGATTCCCAATTCAGTAGTCTTTGCACCTGAAATAGGAATTCGGCAGGACTAG